CCCCACAAAATGTGTGGCTATTATAGTGCCTGTTTCGGTTTACGATGTTTGACTGAAATTATTTTGAAATCATTCTATATGACAAATGGTAGAGTTAAAAAATAAAAATTACATATTAAAATACTAAATCAAAAGATCTGCAAAACTAATAGTGACAATAGTATTTTATTTTATCAAAAAAAAATTTGCACTAAAACTTATGTCATTTTTCTAAATCACATTTAAAATGTTTTATTTTCTAAATAGCACTTAATAATGTCCATAATGTCCGGTGATGGTGAACATTGTGAACATTTACTTGAATAATGACTAGTGGGCAATGGCTAAAAGTGTGGCATTGGAAAAAAATACATGTGATGCTATTTAAGAAAAGTCATTATGTTTTAGTGCTATTTACCTCAAGTCTCTTTTATCAAATTGCTAACGAAAATAGAGAAAGAAAGTGAATAGAGTTTGATTCTATGAATAGTAAACAAACACTATAATTTGGGACGGAGGAAGTACATCAAAAGATCTACAAAACTAGTGATGACATGATTATATTACTTTATCAAATTAAATGAAAATAGGAAAATAAGTAAATAAAGTTTGACCTTGTGAATAATAAACAAACAAATTAATTTAGGACGGTGGAGTATTATATTTTACAGAGTATTATTTTTGCTACGTGAGCTAGGAGTCTCTTGAAAAACAGCCACCCTACTTTCGATTAGAGTAAGGTCTGCGTGCACACATCCTCGTTCGACCTTACTCTTGTTGATCCAACAGGTTGTTCCTTTGCACGTGGCTTTAAGAGAGACTAAATTTTCACTTTCATTCTTATAATAGCTTGTTATTTTAATCACCTTGGTTCCCATGATATTGAAATTCAATGTTATGGGATTACTCGGGGTCCATACGGTGCTTCGTTCGAAAAATTGATAATTTCTATCCCCGGTAAACTCTTTCGGCCTTATCCTAACCCACACTACACGCCCTTCAATTGCACCCTACAAGATTTAGTTGACTATGTAGTCAAAATTTAATTCCAAATTTAACTAAATCTTGTGGGCTGCAATTGACGGGGTGGGTTCGAGCCGGGCCAGGGTGAGTGAATTTACTGGGGGGTACGAAGCATTAATTTTTTGAATGGAACACCGTAGGTGGACTAATCGGGACCCATGTCAGCCAACCCCCCGCCCTATTATAATAAGAATGTATTTCCCATGTTTTACTTCAGTATTCATCTTTTTTGTCTTTTTCAAATCACAACAAAGCACAATAAACACTAAAAACATAATATTATGACACCACCAAATTTAATCGGGCAAAAAATCTCAAACATTGTAAATGAAGTTTGGTTCGGTGAAAAGAATAGTTTTGTTGATAGTCCTTCAACGCTTCCGAGTCCCCGACGCAACCCACCCCAAGTCATAGACCTTTCCCTTTTCTATGTTGTCCCCAACCCATCTTGTCCATTGCTTTTACCCTCCTCGTTGTCCTCCCAAAGCCCTCAATCCCTCCTTTGTTGCCATGATAGAGCTCATAGACTAAAATCTCAGATATTTCCTTAACGCTTGCCGCCATTGCTAGTCCTAAATACAAAATATGTTATCAACAGACCATATCTTAGGTCTTGCTCCTTCAAGGCTTCAACTCATTCGTATTACTTACGAGTGTTACTTTTTCTTATTGAAATCAGATCAGACCAGAAATATCTTTAAATATAACTGCATTCAGATCAGACCAAATCAGAACTTATTACAATCATATTAAAACAATTTAAATCAGGAGAAGAGAACATAGCCTTAGTCTGGCATTGCAAAACCTTCCCCATCCTAATCTACCATTGACGACATCTAACACCTAACTGGGTCCCAATGGCCCGCCCGTTCACCACCGCCTCGATGGCAAATCTCCCTGCCCTAACGTCACCCCCTTCCAAAAGATACTTCATCCCCTCTTGAATTCTCTCCCATGCTTACCCACACTCCAAAAACCCACCTTCCACCCTTCCTCCACCCCTCCCTCCCCAAGCGGTGTGTGTTATAAAAAAACTGAAAGTACTTTACCCTCTATAGTCTTGCTAATGCTCAGTTTTGCATTAATTTTGACTTAACTTTTATTCTTTTCACAATAGAGACTTGACTTATGTATGCTTTACAATTATAAACCAAAACATATAAAAATAATTTAGGGTATGTATTGATTGATCCTGAATTGAACAATATATAACACTTCAAATGAGGAGTACATAAGTGCGCACAAAATGGTCCTTGAAGCTTTCCGATCACATAGTGGTTAGAGATGACAATTAAACTCGAACTCGATCTTAATTCACCCAACCGAACACTAAAATATCTGAACTCAAACCGAGAATAAAATAATTCGGACCTGACACGACCCGAACCTGAACCGTACACAACCGGAACCCAAATATTTTAAAACTTAAACCCTATCTACGGATATAATGAGTACTCCGTATAATCTCTTCTTTTCAATTCTCTGGTGCAATCCTTACATCGCATCTTTGTGTGTTTAGCATTCTCCTTGTATCGTTCTTCCTTCCTTGCATCTCTTTCTTCCTCGTATCTCGGGTTTGTCTACTGTCTTGTTCGCATTTCTAGCCCTGCAATCATCTTGACAAGGTGTTACTATACCAGGTATGCCTTTTATAATTCTTTTTATAATTCCTCAATCGAAAAATGAGACACAAAAGAATTTAGATATATTCTTTTTAAAATTCTTGGGGTACGTCAAATTAGTTATTCGTTAAATTGCGGGTTCGGGTTCGAGTTTCGGATTTAAATGCCAGGTCGGGTAGGGTTTTTGGTTTAAAAGTCGGGTTGAATTTGGGTATAGTACTATCCGACCCGAACCCGACCCGTTGTCATCCCTAACAGTGGTAGATAACTCATTTAGAAATTAATATTCTCAAGATTAGGAATCATTTATGCACAGCTAAAAATATATGAAGTATTCGTGAATACGAAGTACCTATTCCGTCCCTTAAAACTTTTCAAAGATGAAAAAAGGTGCGCCCTAAAAATAATTTTTTTTTGATATTATTTTCAAATTATGACTCATCTTTTTTACACATTATTTCCTACTTTATTATAAGGCAAGAGTAAAGTTTGTAAATAATTTCAAAATGGTATATTTTTAGTGCGTGCCTTTTTTGTCTTTATGAAAAGTTTTGTGGGACGGAGGTAGTATTATTTAAGGCTACACAAGGTTTAATCATTCAGTTTGGCTTTAAAGAGTTTAAGAAAAGTGTTGGAAAATAAAAGTGGTTGAAATTGGATTTGAAGAAAAAAAATTATGTGCCACCAATTCTTTACTTTATTAAAAAAGTAAAGTGATATAAAATACAGACCAAAAAGAAAGGTGAAACGATTACTTGAGACAAATGAAGTATGTAATATAAAATATTTTTTCTCTTTAAAAATCCTAATAAATTATTTTCCATTATTTAATACCTTGTACTCTGTATCTTTTAAAATTTATTTTTCTCTGTGACACTTTCGAATGGAGATCACATGTTCGAATTTCAATGAGGGCAATTGTTCTATACACATATTTTTATTGGATTGAGAACACATGAATGGATATAACGTTGTAATAATATTGTACTCTCTCTGTCTCAAATTTAATTAGTTGTTTATTATTCATAAGATCAAACTTTATTCAGTTTCTTTTTATATTTTCGTTAATCATTTGATCTCTTGATGTTATGTCAACCACTAGTTTTGTAGATCTCTTGATGTTGTTTTTTAAATATTTAATTTTTATTTTTTCAATCTACACTATTTTTATATAAAATGATTTGAAAATAACTTTAGTTAAACATCATAAACTGAAATAGATATTTTAAATTAAGACAAAGAAAGTAATAAAGTTGTTACTGTTAAAAAAATGAACACTTTAATTTGAAACTGATAGTATAGACACCAAATTCTTCCTTTCTTCCTTCCATCTTGTGCGTAGATGGTTAAAAAAGGAGATGTGATCCGGTAGAAGAGTAGTCCCTCCTCTCCAAATCCCCACGGTCACACGAAAACCCTTTCCCCTCACCCCCTTCCTCAGCAAGCCAGTCGCCCAACATGAATTTCTTCCAGCAGAAACCACCGCCGCCACTCAACAATTCATCTTCGCCACCACCTCCCCTTCACGAATTCGTCCAGCAGGCGTTCACATCCCTCCAAACCAACGTCTCTAATTTCTTCCAAAACGCCCTTCAACAACCCCCATTTCATCCTCGCGAATCCCCAGCATTGGCTCGTGCTTCCAGCCTCGTCAGCAGTCCCAACGGCGGCGCATCTATTTCTTCCGGCGGTGGCGGGAGTAGAGAGGGGATTCGCAGTTCACCTACAACGTCAATCCGGGAGCGGTTTACTGGCGTGCCCCTGTACGCTCTCAGCAATCCCAATCAGGAATTCGTTTTGGTTTCTGCCGGGAATGGAAAAACAAGTCTAGGTTTGTTTTGCTTAGGTGAAGCTGATGCAGCATCTATCCTCCACCAATTGAAAAGCATAGACCCTTCTATGCACAAGGATTATAGAGTGGTGCCTGTGGCACTCAATGAGGTCATATCGTCTTTTAATCTGAAATGTACTCCATATGAATGTCAATTCCTCTTACCTTTGATGCTAATGCAGGTCATCCAGCTTAAGGTCGACGGAATGGCTTTTCGGTTGATTCCAGAGGCATCACAAGTGATGAATGCAATTAAGGTAAAATTTTGATTTAATCTTTTCTCCAAATGTAATACTTATCAGGTATCACTTATTTTGACTTCAGTAATTTTAAATTTAGTTACTTTAAATGGTTCCTTAAAAAGAAAATGAAGATGCTACTGTTGAAAGGCTGAAGTTCTTGAATCCTCAAGATTATTGTAATTAACCTTGATGACAAAAGGAATCTCACTGGGATGAAATTATTGCAAACATTTATAATACAATTTTCGTTCAATTTCAAACTTGTTTAGGAATGAGAAATACATGCCTATTTATAGCACATGCACTTCCAATGTTCATATCACTTGCATTTTCAAATTTAACCTCTGAAATTTAATAGTATCGTTTTTGTACGGCATTGATTTTATGCTAATTTTAGAGCCTTTATCTTGCCAAATTTTTTTCTTACTAATGAGAATAGATGCTTGGAATCTAATGGCAATTTGATGTTATTTTATCAGGTGCGTAAAAGAAGTGGTATATCTGATACAACATTTCCTGGGGTTCCAGTTTTTCAGGTATGTATCAAAATCATTCTCTTGAAAATTTGATAATAACTTGACAAAATAGGCCGTTTTGCACTCTTCGAGTGAAACATGTATTCAAACACTAACTATGGTGCTATTCCTTGAGTCAAATCTATTTTCTTTCATGCTCCTTTTTGTCCCATGGCGGAGATGAAGATGTTGCAGTGGATGTGTGGTCAGACTAGAGGTTGAATAGAATTCTGAACGAGGTTATTCAAGGTCGGTTAGGCATGGCGCCAGTGGAGGATAAGCTTCGGGAAGCTAGGTTGAGGTGGTTTGGCCATGTGAGACGGTAGAATGCGAATGCTCCAGTGCAGAGATGCGAGAGACTTACTTTGGTAGGGGGTGTAGGGGAAGGGGTTGACCTAGGAAGACTTGGAATGAGGTGATTAAACATGACTTAGGACTTCTTTCCCTTACTGAGGATATGACCTTAGGTAGGAGTGTTTGGAGAGATAGGATTAGAGTAGCCGGGTAGGTGTCTTGAGCCTGGGGGTAGTTGTTGTGTGCCTTGTAAGCCTTTTATGCTTGGAGCTTTTGCCATTTGATTGCAATACTCTCGTATCATAACTTCACTTTATTTACTTTAGTCTTTACTCTATGTGCTTGGTGCTTGATTTGAGTTGTACCTGTGCCTTCCTTGCCTTTTGTATCTACTGTGATTCCTTTTATGTGGGGGTCTCATGGGAACAGCCTCTCTACTTTCGGGTAGGGGCAAGGTCTGCGTACACACACCCTCCCTAGACCCTACTTTCATGGGATTCAACTGGGTTGTTGTCGTTGCTTCTTTTTGTCCCAATATTGGCGACACCTTTGAATTGACACACTTCTTACGAAAATGAAATTTATGCGGTTGAGATTTATTTTGGAAGGAGAGAAATAACACCATGCATATAATTATTTCCTTAAAATAGAATGAGTTATAATTTTGGGGCAAACATAGAGGATTGGTATGAAGATAGTTTTGGGATAATCAAGTGTGTGCATTGATTAGGTTCAAAAGCCGACTTATCTTAAAACTAAAGGTAAACAGATTTTACTAAACTGAGGGAAGGCGTATTGAGGAACTCAACAATGTGGATCATGGCAGCACTTGGTCTCCTCTTCCTAAGCCTGTCGCACTCAGCCAAGCTAAGTGGCTTAGCAACCTGCAGATGTAGTTGGATTATGCTTTTTGTAAGTTTAGTGAGATCTGGCTCATTTTGTGAATTTGAAAGACATTCCTCTAAGCGGGAAAGTTCTTGTTTGATCATGGCACCCACCGCTCAGGCCATTTTCAAGACACCCACCGCTCAAGCACAGACAGAGTAAACCAATAAAGTACACACAGAAGCACAAACAGAGTTAGAACAAAGAGCAAATTAAGGGCAAAGAAAGCACACAGAGACATGAAATACACAAATTGACACTAGTAACTAGACCCTAAGCACAAAAGGCACACAAAGACAAGAGAAACAATGCACCTTTGAAACTAACAACTAAGGCCCAAAAGCCTACTTACTACTAGGGATGGACAAACAGGTCTTGGAACCGCAGGTTGGAATTGAAACACGTGGTTTGGGGTGAGTTAGGGCCAGAACCGAAATGCTAACTTAAAAAGCGGGGCTCGGCTGGGCGTCTTATAATGCAAAAAGAGTCGGGTCGGTTCCATACCTCGCAATGTGGAGTTGTGGACTCAAACAATTTAGTATATATGTTGGTTGTGTGCTTGTGTTCTTTGTTGTTGAAGGATATTAATCTTGTACTCTTGTTATTTTTATTGATGATTGTTTTTTATGTGCTAACTTGAAACTTGTTTTATTAAGGTAATAGTATTTTGTCCTTTAAAATGTGATTATGTTTAATGACACGCACCCACCCACACACACACAACTTGTCTCGAATTAATTTTAACATTTTAACTTGTTGACCAACTTATCGACTAGTCCCTTCGATGACTTGACTTGTTGACGTGACAACCATGGTAGTCTCAAGGCATTTAAATGCTCTCACTTGTAGAATAAAATTTCGTAGCCACGTGCTTGTGGCCTTCTTTTTCCTCTTTCTTTCTTTCTTTCTTTTGGAAGTCACCCTTTCATTGAAGAAAATGTTGTTCAGAGTGCTTTATTGTTCATCTTCTGGTGATTATAGTTGGGAGCTGACCAATGGCACTATGCAAAAGCACGGTATATGGGGACCACCCAAACACCATAAAAGTTTTCCAATGTCAATGAATTGAAACAGTAGAAATTTCAGGATTGTTCTAGAATTTGTCACAAGGGTTGTTGCAGGACATCATTTCGTTGTGAATTAGTTACCACACTCAAGATTCACTAGCTTAGAGTTTATCTAGCATAGCGATGCATTTACTTCATGCCAGGAAACTCAAATCAATATGAATATGAAAAAAGTTTCTCCTTAATTTCTGCACAAGTTGTGTATCATGTTCTCAGCTCAGATGTCTTTTTAACGTGTTTTTAACTCTCATTATATTATTGATTGCAGTCAAATAGCTTAGTCCTGAGGAAAGAGAACACAAGATATCGTCCATTTTTCTTTAGAAAGGTTAGTCGACTACTTGACTCTAGTTTTCCGCTTATATGATTTAATCTCTTTTTTTATATTTCCATCATTTCCGGTGGAGCCAAATATTCACTATTCTTTGGCATTGGGGTATGCTGGAATAAAGCGAAATGACTCTTTAAACTGTCTGCATTTCTTTTAATAGTGAAGTAGCAGTTAGCCAATGCAACTTTCAATGCCCATCATGGGTCATCTATAAACAACCGCATTATGTTTTAAAGATAGGGGTCAAGTTGCATACGTGATTACATGTGGTGCTTGAGCCGGGGGTCTCTTTGGAAATAACCTCTCTACTTTCGAGTAGCCGAGTAGGGGTAAAGTCTGCATACGCACACTCTCCCCAGACCCTACTCTTGTGGGATTCAATTGAGTTGTTGTTGTTGCTATTTATTTTAATTACTCCCTCCGTCCCCAATTTGATTACAAATTGCGGGTTACGGAGTAAAATTTTCTACTTTTTGAAATCATTTTATTTACAAATTGGTATATTAATTAGATATAAAAATTACATATTAAAAAATTACGTCAAAAGTTCTACAAAACAAGAGGTGACAAGAATATTTTATTTTATCAAATACTTAATGAAATCCCGTAAACAAACAAAAGTTATCGAGAGGGGAGAAAAAAAATTGTAATCTATTTAGGGGCGGAGGGAGTATTATATAGTGATATTGTGTAGGAGGACCTGGAGAAGTCTCTTTCCAGAGCTTCCAGAGATCAGAATATACTGAATCCTGCATTAAAAGGAGATATTCAGGTGCTACATTTTTCAAAAAACTTTTCCTATTCCCGAAAAAATTAGATTTGAGATATCTTGAAAACCCATTTTGTTCTGAATGTGATAGGTTGATGTTCTAGAGGATATAATACAAGGGATGAAGGTAAGGGATTCTTTTATGGTATAATGTTTGTCTGTTTTCATGCAAGATGAGCCAAATTTTTGACATGATTTTTACATTTAGGGATATGGTATCTACTTTAAAAGTGCATGTGCTTCATATCTCTATAACGTAGAAGCTGATACCATATATGTAAACAAACTTTACAGGACAGCTCAACATCAGCATGGAACAATGTTGTTTTCATCCCTCCTGGTTTTGATGTTTCCACGAATCCTCCTCGAAGGTGACATCACCACGCACCCAAGCACTGCTTTTGCAGCTCTTGGAAAGAAAGCAAATCATTTGGCAAGAAATTTTGCAGCTCTTCAAATCATTTTGCAGCTCTTCAAATTTTATTAATCATTAATAAAATCATTTTATTATAACATACTTTTTAATATGTAATTTTTATTTTTTAATTCTAAACCATTTGTCATATAAAATGATTTGAAAATAATTTCAGTCAAACATCGTAAACCGAAACAGACGTTATAAAATGGGACGGAGGTAGTAATAAATGTGCATAATTTTGAACACTATGATTTTTATTCTAAAAAATATCATATCTTAGGGGCTGTTTGTTTCAGCCTCTTAATGGTTCAGATGTCTGAATGTTTCAGACTGTTTGTTTCAGCCTCTTAATGGTTCTGAATGGTTAAGAGATTTGCTTCTGAATGGTTAAGTATTATACAGAGTCTGAATGGTTAAGACCTCTTATCTGAATTGATCAGACATTTGCCTCTGAATAGTTAAGTAATATACTAGCTCTTAATGGTTCAGACCTCTTACTGGTTCAGCACTTAATGGTTCAGACCTCTTACTGGTTCATCACTTACCTATTCAGAAGTTGCCAAACAGCCCTTATTATTAAAAAGATTTAGATAATGCATACTACTCCCCATGTCCCAATTTAAATTGTCTGTTTGCCTTTTTTTTCCATCCCAAAATAAGTTATCGGTTAGTTGTTATCGTAAACTTTTAAAAATAAAATATCTAAACTACCTCTAAAATAAGTCACCATTCTTCACCTTATCTTCTAATTCATAGTCACCCCTTCTAAAAAGTAATGACAATTTTGAAAAATCAATTCTATTTTTTCTTTTCCTTAAATATGCTCAAAAGTCAAAACATGTTATTTAAAACGGGACGGAGGGAGTAATATTTATTGAAAAAATTAAATAAAAAACTAAATATTTTAATTTAGAATATAATTTTATCAATATGTTACAAAGTAAAAAATTTAGAATATATAACAATCCGTGTGAAGCATAAGATTAAAAGAGTTGAAAGTAGCGGGGTGAAATTAGTATGTGAGATGAATTTAGTGTTTTAGTGGGGTGTGACTATCACCATCCAAAAGTAAAATACTCATTAAATTTTGATATTATAACTTAAAAAAGTAATAATGGGGGTGAAATTGGAGGATTTTTTTCAAAAACTTTAAACCAAATAACTTGTTAGAATTCAAAATTGTAATTTAAAAAGCTATATCAAATTTAAATATTATTGGGAGTCAGTTTTCTGGAATACTAAGGTCATGTTCTCATCAATTTATTAATATTATTTATTACTTTCTCTTATTGGAAACAAATCATACCAGATCAGAAATAATTTTAAATATAACAATATTCAGATCAGACCAGATCAGATCATAACTTATTTCAATCAGATCAAGTGAAAGAATATGAACTAATTTATAGTTCAACTAAGTTCTATTAAGTTGAATGAATTTCAATTGAAAAACTAATGAAAGGAAATATAAAATATGTAACATTTCCATGTTAGTATGGAACGAAATAACACTTCCATGTGCCTACTTCAAATCACTTGTGCGTCACAATAAATTGAATTCAAATCGTCCCTCACTTTTCGCAAGTACATTTTTTCTCATTGTGTCACTCATTTTGAGAGCTTAAAAACAGACTTGCACAACTTATGGCCAATCCATCCGGTTCGTCCATCCGGCTTTCATGAACGGGCGAATATGGACAATTATATATATTCGTGTGGATCGAGCCGAGTAGGGCCGCAAAATAATGACGGATTTGTGTTTAAGTTTGACCCGCATGTAAGATTCAATTGGGTTGTTGTTGCATAGTCTAACAATCATTTATATTCATTTGATAGTATTTTTGTTCAACCTTGCACAATATCTCCCCTTAGGATATTTTGGAGTTGCTTTTCCATGTTGGTGCTTATTGACCTATTGCTGATAAGTAGTTTTAAACTTATAAGCTGTTTATAAGTCAAATATTCTTTCGTGTAGATTCTTTTGAAGATATTCATAATAGGTGATAGATAGTTCTATAAATAATCTAATAAAAACGGAGAAACAAAAAAACTAGATTAAAAATAAGTAGGTAAGACATACTTATTTTTCAGGCTTATAAGAATTGAGAAATACGTCATCAGCTTACTTGTAAGTTATAAAAAGCTTATAGGCGGTTTTGAAAAACTTATAAGCTCACTGACACACCCACTTCATACAGATTATAGAGTATATATATTCATCTCCATCATGAGAAATTTTACTAACAATTTTTTATTTTGTAACATATCCTTGAAAAATAATAGACACCCAAAGCTCGTTTTTAAATTTTAAATTGGCAAATGCTTAGTGTACACAACTTATATATCAAGTGTGTTACAAACTCACATGCAATAATTGTCTGTGCGTGCTATGTGGGCCAAGAGTTTAAAATACATAATATCTGTGTCAGGTATTAAACATAATTTAAATGTATAGCTGTGAAAAGATAATAAGAAGTATTCTGTATTTTATTAAAATTAATATTTCAAGGACGAAGTAGCAAGAGGTGAAATTTTATTTTTTCAGCGGATTTTTATTTTGAGACGAAGGATGTGAGTTTAATTTTTTAACCAACATAAATTTTTAAATAAATTTAATTGAAAATAATTTAAACTAAATATCGTAAATCATACAAAGAACCTTTTTTCAAGTCCCTATATCATTTATTCAGTTTTCTATACATCCTTGCATGTATTCATTTTTGAGTTACATAATATTTATTTATTTTAGTATATTATCACAACATGTACATTACAAAGAGTGCTTCTTTGGTGCACCATGAGTGCATACCATTTTTGTGGACCTTCTCACATAAAAAACTTTTTTAATTAAAAAAATAGGTGATTATTTAATTAATAGAAAATGCTTATTGTTGGAATTTTTGGCTTATAATGGGACTATTTCGGCCGTAAATTCGGTAGGGTCCATAAAATTATTTTTTCAAAATAATTATGGACAATTAATCTCCTATGTGAGATGAGTGTTTCAAGTGTTTTGCGTAAAAAATGGTGTTCGGTTTAATGAGAAATGAATTTACAAACTCGGACACTTGGAAGGAGGAAACACATGCATCCCGCATCGGTTTTGGGACCTTTCATCTTCCATTATTTATATGATAGCATTGAGTTATACGTAGACCTGGCAAAATAGAACCGGAACCGATTACCCGAACCGAAATATCCAAAACCGAAACCGGAATGACCCGAAAAATGAAGATCCGATCTATAACCGAAAACCCGAAATGATCCGAATCGAACCGAAACCGAACTAAATAATTCATATCCGATTTAAATCCGAAACCGATTACATCCGAAACCGATAATATCCGAACCGATTAAACCCGAAACCGAATAGATCCGAACCCGATAATACCCGAAACCGATAAAATCCGAAACCGATTAGATCTGAAATCGATAATATTCGAACCCGATTAGAACTAAAATCGATAAATTCAGAACTATGTTTGCCTTTCAATAAGCATATTATATTTTTTAAATTTTTACTTTTATTTTACCATTTGAATTAATTACATTACTTGCCCATTTCCTCATAAAATTGATTATCTTCTTGAAAAAAAGTACAAAATTTTATGTCTTAAATTTGTTATATGTAGAAATTAAAGATAAGTTATACATATAAATGATAACGCACAAATAAATAAAATTTTCGTAATTTTTAAATAGTGAAATGTGATATTCTTTTTGGAACGAAAGGAATATATGATGAATTGTATGGAATACCTAGATTTTATCCTAATTTCATCTCATTACAATAAATTTTATTGATTTGAGAGTTAATTTGATTAGTTTCAAACCAATTCACTCAATATTAGTCAATAAAATTAGATGTTGGTGTTAGCATTTTGAAAAGACTTTCTAGCAGCAGCCTTTGTTGTTATCATTTTCAAATTTGATCTACACCATTACATTTAGGTGTAAAATTAATTACGTAGTATATTTGACTTTATTAAATTTAATTTTCTCTATTTTCAACCAAACATACTCAATAATTTACAAATTTTGCACTCAATTGAATAAAATTCACTTAATTTTACCCAATTTTACTCAATTTTTACCACATTGTATTCAAATGGAACATAAGACTATTTGAATTTATCTTTTATCCTTTCATTTATGTACATAAGTATGTTACGGAGTAGTAGATGTGAGAAAAATTTGATATTTCAAAACTAAATTTTAAAATCAATTTAATTATATTAAATTTATATCATAACTAAATATATATGTTTTCATAATTTGTAGTCTAAATTTGTAAAATATGACTTAAAAGTCAAAAAGGGGAGATTATTTAGGGTAGAGATAATATAACTAAAAAAATATAAAATAATATGAGGTATTGAATTTATGATAGATTAATAAATGTGATAAAACATAAAAAGAAACACAAATAGTTAAATTTTAATTAGAAAATAATATATATCCAAAATATATTTGATCCGAAACCGAAATATATCCGAACCGAACTAGACCCGAAACTAAAATATATATCCGACTCAAATTGTATCCGAACCGAAATTTATCCGAACCGATTTATAACCGAACCGTATCTGAACCGACTCGAATCCGAACCGAACCGAAAAATGTATAGAACCGAAATCAAATCCGAACCGAAATTTAACCGAACCGAATATAACATATAACCGAAAGATATCCGAACCGGAAAAATCCAACCCGAAACCGATCCGGTTGATCCGATTGCCACCTCTAGTTATACGCTAAAAGCAATTTGAAAAGGAGGAAGAAAGGGACCCCTTGCGCACTGACACCGCTGCCATCCGTCCGGCTCAGCTCGGCACGCACACACACGCGCGTGCAAGAGAACGCGTGTTGGCGTGTGGCGTGTGTGTGCGACGCGTCGTGACATGGCGAGAGCGTGGACCAACTGTTATCTTTTTACGAGACTGGATTAAACACAAGAGGAATAGGTCGTTGATAACGAAGTATGCATGTGTGAAAAGTCTCCGGAGACTCCTCGTGTTTAATGCCAGCAAAAGCCTCTCATATATAAGAAGAGGCGGAAAATTGCACTGGAAGAACACCAACTCGAAAATATTCTCTACGCATGCCAACTTTTAATTGTTTCTCCGATCACTTTCAGGTTATTAACTCTCAGGTTGTTGTTGTTTGTCGGTGCACGGCTCTACCCCTCTAGACCTTGCACGTTAGCGGTTTTATCTTGGGTGGAGATCGTCCTTGTTAGCTAGTGTGGGAGGCGGGCGATACTACCTTAAGGAAAGCTCCGGCGACTCTGCTTTCCTTTCTTCCTCCGTTCGGCTTCCGACCACCAACGACCTTCTATTCTATTTTTTTTATTTTTACGTTGTAAAATTCGAACATATTATAAGTTCAGATTATTATTATTATTGTTATTCTCCCGTTGTAAACTTTTACTTCATTCTCAACACTTATTGTGTTCAGATGTAGGTCCATGGTGAACCTTAGGTC